GACGCCCGTGCCAGCCTGCCTGCCCTGCCTCCCAGGCATGGGCTGCGTGGGTGCAGCCCCAGTGAGGAGAGCACAGCTCCCCAGGCATGTCAGGAGGGCCCAGGGCTGACTTCCTGGGTCGAGACTGGCCTGTCGCCAGTCACCATGCTGGGCTGTGCTGAGTGGCCAGGCCTGGGGCACACCCTCACTCTGGAAGATGAGGGATCCCTCCCCAGATGGAGGGGCGGGCCCACCGGGTACAGCCCTGCCACCCTGGGGTCTGACCATAGACACAGTGTGTAGACAGGTGGTAAGCGCTCTGGGAGGAATACGTAAGGGGTCAGCCTGTCAGAGCAGGTGCAGGGGCTAGGCCTGGGAGCTCTCACCAAGAAGGTAACCTTTAAGCAAAGCCCTGGAGGGGAGGAGTGCGCTGAGAGAGCCACGGCTGGGGACAGTGTCATGCGGAAAGGGAACAGCGAGTGCAGAGGCCCGCAGCTGGGGTTCCGGGTGGACCACAACTCTCAACGTTTCTCCGCATCCCAGTCCCCCTTAGGGTCCTTATGTCGGGTGTCTTGCTTGGTGGAGCTCGAGTCCTCGGGATGGTGGCTGCCCCTGTCACTTCACCGCTGTGTCCCCAGTGCCGCTCGCGGGCCTGACACCCGGTGGGTGTTGAAGAAAGGAGGAGACAAGGGTGGGAGCAGCATCTCCCAGGTGCTGTCCTCTCCCTCCTCCCCTCACCACATTTGGCACCGGCTCTGAGGGGTCCCCAGAAGCCCCCATCCCAGTCCGGAGAAGATGGGTGCATGGGAAGTAGGGCTGTTGTGAAGTGAGAAAGTGGGGTGTAGGGAGCCAGCTTTTTCCTTTTTTTTTTTTTTAGTACTACTGTCTGTACCTTATACACACCTCTCAAATCCTGTGTCATGGACACGACTCCTGTTTGGAAGGAAACTGAAGCTCAAGGAGATGAAGCGGCGTCGTGGGGGAGACACAGCCTGTGTCCATCCCCTTCTCCTTCTGCCTCAAACCCAGCTGGAGACAGGAGGCTGGAGTTGGGGGCGGCCGTGAGCGGGCTGCGCAGGCGGGTGGTTAGCACACTGGGTTGGGGGCCCCCCCCCCCGAGCAGTGCGATTGGGGGCACCAGCTCTAGTGACTCTCTTGTCGCTCTGATGACTGTGTGGCTGGCTTTCCCTGCCGCCAGGGGCCGTGTGGAGTAGGAGGCCCTGGGCCTTCGGGTAAGTGGGGCGGGAGGAACTGGAGCTTGTGAACTGGGGCCCACTGGCCTGCTCAAGATTCCTTTTGTTTGTTCTGCTGGGATTTTTTTTTGTGGTGAAATACGTAAAAAGTGTTCCCTTTGAACCATTTTTAAGCGTGCGATTCAGCACGGTTAAGTGCACTGACAGTGTGATTTCCAAAATACAGCAGCAGGTCTTCGAATGCCGTCCGCCGTTTTGTTCAGGGTCATTTTCTCACAACAGGGAAAAATCGATTCCGGTCAGGGCCACTGTCTGCATGTGTTTGCACTGGCCACTCGCAACCCCGCACCGGAATAAGCGGTTTGCAAAATAACTGTCTTGTTTTTATTCATCTTTTTTGAATGTACGTATAGCTCACATTTATTTGAGGGCTTAATACTAGAAGTCTTTTGGGTCTTTAGTGAGAAGTTGGTGATTTTGTGGCCAGAAATATGCCGTAGGAACTTAACACTCGCTCCTATCCATTCGCCTCTGGTCAAATCAGTTTCCTTATATTTTGAGTCAGTTTTCTTACACATTGTTTCACTTAAAGTCCTAGTTTCCTGTAGATGACCGTAGAGTTGGCGTCTCTCTGAAAGGAAGCTGTGTCCATTAAGCAATAACTTCCATTCCTCCCAACCACCCTCCAGGCCCAGGGGACCACTAACGTATGTTCGTCTCTATGAACATGCCTGTTCCAGATGTTGTATGTAAGCAGACACATTTGGTATGCCTGGTTGTGTCTGGCTTATTTTATTGAACATAATGTTTTCAAAGTTCATCCATATTGGATAGCATGTGTCAGCATTTCATTCCTTTTTTATGGTTAAATAATATTCTCCACAGCTAGACCACATTTTGTTTATCCACTTACCTGGCAGTTTTTCAAAATGTAAACACTGTATGTTAGTCAGCAGTATATTAAAATCTGGGTACTCACACTGTTGCAGATTCCTAGTTTCTTCTAAAAGCTTAGCATGCATGGCCACATAAGGCCTGGGCTCCTGATGCCTCTCAGGTCCCATCTGCCCCCGCCCCTTTCCTTATCATACTGGGGTGACATCCGAGTAGTGGGGTGGGGGGGGGGTGCACGCCAGCACCTAAGGCTCCCCAGCTGGGTAGCCCAGGTGCACAGCCCTGGGGGCGAGGGCATTGGCAGCTCAGCAGTCTGGCCCCCTGCCCTGGGCTCCGGGCTAGGAGTGCCTGCCCGTGTGTCCTCACAGCACCTGAGTGTCCTGCTCACTCAAGCCTAGGGGAGCACAGGGCAAAGGGGGCACGTGCTCCTGGGAGAAAACCTGGTCAGAGAGGCAGGTGGATGGGGCGCTGCCTCTGGGCCCAAACAGGGTGTGGCACCACAGGGGCCCATGGGCCTCCTCCTTGTGCTGAGTGAGGTGACATCTCACTGTAGTACCCGCTGACCCTCTTAGCAACCCACTCCTGACAGAGGAGAAAGACAGTGCCCTCCCAGGTCAGGCAAGTGGCTTGTCAGGGCTGGTGCCAGTTCGTGAAGTGACACCTGCAAGGTGGGCTGAGAATAGGCACCTGCCAGACTCCTGTCCTGCGTGGCAGGGGGCCTCTCCAGCTGAAGGCCCTGCCCTGGCAGGAGGGGGGCGGCAGCTCTCAGGACCAGCGCCGGGCGTGTGAAGGAGGCACGAGGTGCCACTGGGCAGGGGTCAGGGCTTGAGCACCTCCTTCCCAGGAAGAGGAAGGAGGGCAGCTTTGAGCCAGACCTGAAGGTTGGCTGAACTGGAAGCAACGTGGCAGGCAGACAGCAGCTCCCAAGCAAAGGTCTTGGAAATGTGAGGTCCAGCAGTGGCCAGGACGTTGGGACCTGGGCCGGGAAAGGCGCAGAGGTCATGGGACCGAGAATACACTGGGTGGGAACTTGAACTCTATTCAGCAGGCTGTGGGCAACAGGCAGCTTACTAAACAGGGCCTGATAATGATATGGCGTCGCTGGGAAACAGTGGGGTGGAGGTGTGTGTAGCGGAGAGAAGCCGGCCCAGGGAGGGGGAGGTGCAGCCAAGGACATTGGATGGGATGGGTGTGGCCTGACAGTTGGAGGATGCTTGGTGGCCCATTTACCCATTTTATGTGGTTCCGCGATTCACATTTGCCCCTCCCCCGCCCCCGGGAGGGCCTGCACCTTGGTCATAGTCACTACTTTGTTTCCCAGCTGGGACAGGGCCGGCATACAGTAGGTGCTCAGTAAATACTGCTGGGTGGTTTGTTCATTCCACAAACGTCTAGGTTGGTGCTGGACACCCTGCCAGAAGAAAACCAGACTGACCCATCTGTGATGGAGGAGCAGGTGATGGGTGGTGAGGTGGCAGAGGTAGCAGGACTGAAGGCCTGGGAACGGGTGTAGCTGAATGCGGAGCCGTGGGGCGGCTTTGAGCAGAAGCTGGAACTGCCCTGAAGGATGAAGGGAGCTGTGGTGGCGTGGAGGAGGGCTGGCAGCCTGGCCCAGGAGACCTGCGGTAGCTGAGGGGGAGGGGTGCCACTGCGCCTTAGACCTTTCCCATCCCCCTCTGCCCAGGGCCCCGACCGCTTGATGGGCAGCCCGGCCCCGCCCTCGGGCAGCCGGGAGGCCAGCGATTGGTTGAGGCTCTAGAGCCGCTCGGTCGCCATGGGGACGCTCTGGAGGTGCGCGTGCCCAGCGCCCAGCACTGGGGACTAAATCTTCATAATCTGCCGGCTGGGAGGGTGGGGGTGGGGCCCTTTGCGACCCTGGCCTGGGGGAAGGGGTGGCCTGGGATGCTGTCAGGGCTCACTGTGGCCGCTCTCCCCCAGCCGCTCTGGGTGCAAGTGCAGAGCCGCCCGGGCACCAGGGCACCACGGGCACCCACAGAGTACTTATCTGACAATGACCCGGTAGCTTCGGCCTCTTGCCTTATCAGATCACGCAGGAGGCTGGGGCTGAGTGGGGAAGACAGACCTGGAATTTATCTCAAAATGTCTAGCCCTTCAGTTCGTTTGTCTTTCCGGATTCCTAGGCAATGCTGCGCTCTCCACAGCAGGGGGCGCCCTCGGCAGAGCTTTGTTGAGCTGTCGCCTCTTGAAGGCTGGGATGGCCCTTTGAGGTTTGAGGGCGCACAGACTACATACCTTGTAGTCCTGTCTCCTATATCCAGGGTTACAGGGCCATGCATACAAGGCAGGTCTGGGGGGCGTATGTCCGTGCGCCAAGACCGCGGCCAGGATTGGGCCGGGCCTGCTTGCAGGAGGGAGTGGGTAATGGGGAGGGTCACAGTGGAGCCATCCCTCCCTCCTCAGGCAGGGGGAGGAAAAACTCAAGGCCCCTTGTGAGGAGGAGGTCCTGTGGGGAAACGGTGTGAAGGGGCAAGGTAGCCGTGAGCCGGAGGAAGAAGACGGCACTGGCCAGAACCCAAGCAGTGTCTGGGATGTTCAGGACCTCTGGCAGGCATCTGGCCAGTCAGACCTGAGGTCGCCGCCACTCACGCCCACACTCTTGGAGCTGGGCCTCCCATGAGCCTAGCTATGGCACTCATGGGTGTGGGAGGCAGGACCACCACACCTTGCACACTCGTGGCCACTCTGGTCCTTGATAGCCCACATCTGTGCCCCCACCTCCAGCAAGGCTAGCCCCTTGGGATATCTAACAGGGACAGCAGCAGTGCTCACCGCCTGCCCAGGGATGCTTGTGAGGATGACACAGGGCAAGTCCTCCCCGGGGCTCTCTTGCCCACCATGCCCTGGGAGGGAGGTGTCTTGAGGGGCATTGGGTGCTGGGGTGGGGCCTCACACCCAGGCCTCTTGTGATTTCAGACGACTCCTCCTCTGAGAGTGGCAGCGGCAATGGCTCCTCCACCCTGAACCCATCCACATCCAGCAGCACGCAGGGCGACCCCGCCTTCCCCGAGATGAATGGCAACGGCGCTGTGGCCCCCATGGACTTCACGGCCACAGCTGAGGATCAACCCATCAACCTATGCGATAAGCTCCCGCCAGGCACGGTGCTCGGCACACCCTCCTACCCCTCCGACGGCTGCGGCACGGATGGACTGCGGAGCCGCGTCAAGTACGGGGTGAAGACCACCCCTGAGGTGGGTGAGGCTGTGGGCGCGCCAGGCAGAAGTGAAATTGTATGTGCCAGGAGTCGATGCCAGGTCAGGGTGGTGGGCAGCGCTGCTCTGCCGTCGTTTCCTGGGGAGGCCCTGGGGCGGGAGAGCACGTTAAGTGATCTCAACAAGTCCCTCACTTCTCTGAGCCTGTGTCCCCATCTCTGCAGTAGAGTTGATGGCGCCTGCCTCGGAGGTGGTGGGTGATGCGTGGTGTGTCCCCTTCCATCCAGGACAGAGTCTGCTGTGAGTAACAGCAGCAAGCGGCCATATCCAGCACGGAGCTCCAAGGCCTCGCGTTTCCTGGCTGCTCTGCCGGCCCATCCCCGATTTCACAGATGGCACAGGAGAAGGGCAAGGCCTTTGTTTGTGGCCCAGGGGATGCAGACATACGAAACTCAACAGACCAGGCTGATGGAGGGTGGGCAGGGCAGGTGCTCCCACCATTTAGCACTCCCCCCATCCTTCTGCAAGCCGCCTCTGGGCACCAAGGTTTCCTGCGGCGGCGCAGTGCAGCACGGGGTGTGGGAGCTCTCCTGGGAGCACCTTCCCCTGCCGGGGCCACAGGTGCCATCTGAGTCCCGTGTGCGTGGGTGCTAGCCACATCGTCCTGCACAGGTTCCTTTCCCTCCCCTGGCCTGTCGTCTCTTCTGCAGGGGGGTGGTATGTCTCATGGGGAAATTCTGTACAAAGGGCTGAGCTCTGGCTGTGGAGCAGGTACTGGGTCCAAGAACAGGCAGAGCTGCTGTCCCCGGGAGGCAAAGAGCCGAACGGGGAAGAGTGGCCACATGTGTGGGCCCAGGAAGCAGATGAGAGCGTGAAGGCCACCAGCAGCTTCTCTGTCTCCCCCGGCCCGGGCAGAGGGCGGGCTAGGGAGCAGCTTGGCACCGACTGGCACAGGTCTTTTCACTCTCTATGGCAAGTCCGGCACGAGCCAGCAGGAGGCCAGAAGACCTGGATGCCCCTGTCCCTGGGGAGGCTAATAACCCCTGTGGGAGTGGTCACAGGGAGGCCTGCTGGTGGCGGCTGCTGTGGGCCTATGCACCGGTCAGTGTGCATTTTTTCCTGTTAGTCGGTCAGCAAGAGCTGGGTTCCCCCCTGGGCCGCCATGCGGCCACAGCGAAGGGTCTGACCTGCAGCTGTCTGCTCCCTGGGCCCAACTACCGGCTAGATGCCCACCTCCTTGAGGACAGGGGCCATGTTCCCAGGACACTGCTAATCAGTGAGTGAAGTCAGGACTCACCAAAGATGCAAGCTTTCTAAAAGGCAAGTGATAGTGGTCGTCAGCTGAGCTGCAGAGGGTGAAAAAGATGAAGGCCGGGAGGAGAAATGGGGAGGGCACCCCAGAAGGGAGTAGAGGGCTGGGGGCCTTCTCTGCTGCAGGACGGGGCGAACGCCCCACGGGCTGCCCCTGGTCCCCCGCCCTGTATACTCGCACTCTGTATCGGGCTCACGGTGTCCTCCTGGGGATGGTGCCAGACAGGAGAACCCCAGCCTGGGAGCTTTGGGAGTGCACTTCGCCTAATGGGCCCGTCGCCTCGTCTGGTCCCCTCTCCCGGCCCATCTGTTCCTCCTCCTCCTCCTCCTCCTCCTCCTCCTCGACAGACAGCACGCTGGCTGCTTTCGTGCCAGCCCTGCTGTCAGCTCGGAGCTGCAGCCCCTTGGGGGTCAGGGGAGGAACCCTTGAGGCCAGAACAGGTCTTGGCACACCCAGAAGAGGCTGGTCGTTGGTGGGAGCCCTGCCTGTGTCTACCTTTCCCCCACACCAGGTGGCAGGTCACAGTGGGCTCAGGGCACCACTGCACCCTCCACGCCGTGCCCCCAGGGCACCAGGCCCGGCGGGAACTGCTGAAGGCAGGCCTTCTCACAGCCACCCAGGGAGGGGGTGGCAGCACAGTCGTCCCCACTGCACAGATGAAGGGAGCGGGGACGGAAGGTGACTCGCTCGGGGCCTCGCAGCTGTGGCTCACGTGGCAGTTGGGTGTGCTTACCACCCCAGCTCCCCAGCTCACTGCGGCCTGTCGGGGACCACGAGAAGGTCCAGCCTGACCCCTGCCCCACCCTCTCTCAGTCCCCCCCCTACAGCTCGGGGAGCTATGACTCCATCAAGACCGAGGTCAGTGGCTGCCCCGAGGACCTGACTGTGGGCCGGGCTCCCGCAGCAGACGACGACGACGATGACCACGACGACCACGAGGACAACGACAAGATGAACGACTCTGAGGGCATGGACCCTGAGCGCCTCAAGGCCTTCAACGTGAGCGCCAGCGAGGGGCCGGCGGGGAGGGGGTGGCAGCCAGGGCCAGCCCTTCCCACAGCCCCTCTCCCCCACAGATGTTCGTGCGTCTCTTTGTGGACGAGAACCTGGACCGCATGGTGCCCATCTCCAAGCAGCCCAAGGAGAAGATCCAGGCCATCATCGAGTCCTGCAGCCGGCAGTTCCCCGAGTTCCAGGAGCGGGCCCGCAAGCGCATCCGCACGTACCTCAAGTCCTGCCGGCGCATGAAGAAGAACGGCATGGAGATGGTGAGCCCTCCTGCCCGCCGGGCCCTCCCCTGCCTGCCACCACCCCCGGCCACTTACCCGTCGCCCGTCCAGTGTCCTAGAGGCAGACACCACGATCCCCGCTGCAGAGTGGGGAGCTGAGGTCCGGAAAGACGGCACAGCTCCATAGATAACAGCACTGAAGCCCGAACCCCAGCCCTGCCCCAGCCACCTCTAGGGCAGGGACTCTGTGTGAGACCAACCCCGCTCTGTCCCCGCCCTGCCCGCAGACCAGACCCACGCCTCCCCACTTGACCTCGGCCATGGCCGAGAACATCCTGGCCGCCGCCTGTGAGAGCGAGACGAGAAAGGCAGCCAAAAGGATGCGCCTGGAAATCTACCAGCCCTCACAGGTACCTGCCCGCCGCCGGCCACTCTCACGGGGTTGCTCCCAGGCAGGGGCACATCAGCCATTCCAGACACTGGGCCCCCGAGAGCAGAGGGACCAGGGGGAGCAGTTCCCGGAGGGTGGCGGAGGCCCGGAGAGGGCAGCAGTGATGGGTGGCGTGGGGAAGAGCCTGCCACTGAGGCCCTGCAGACCCAGGAAGGGCATCTGGGCTCCACCCCGAGCCCAAGGGCCCTGGGTGGGTCCTCAGCGGAGCAGAAACAGATCCCGTCTGCTCCACAGAGAGGTGCACAGAGCAGGGACGCCATGGGCACCACAGCCAGAGGGAGGAAGCAGTGCTGCGGGACACGGCACTAGGTTCCAGGAATTCTGGGGCCACGGTCTCCGTCCACCCCATCCAGGGACAGGGGCCAGGGCCTGCTGCCCCTTTGGCTCCCCAGCGCCTCCCTCCCCTCCACAGGACGAGCCCATCGCCCTGGACAAGCAGCACTCCCGGGACTCCTCAGCCATCACCCACTCCACCTACTCACTGCCAGCCTCCTCCTACTCCCAGGACCCCGTGTATGTCAATGGCGGCCTCAACTACAGTTACCGCGGCTACGGGGCCTTGGGCAGCAACCTGCAGCCCCCTGCCTCCCTGCAAACAGGAAATCACAGTAACGGTGAGTGCGAGTGCGGGAGACTTGCAGCCTTGCGGGGGCGGAGGGGTGGGGAGTGACTCCTCCTCAGCACAGGGACCCTCCCCATCTCATAGCCTCAGCCAGTCTTTAGAAAGGAAACCAAGGAAAACTTACCCTGATTATAGCCGAACTGCCTGCTCCCTCCTCTATGGGCTCCAAGGCGGCCTGTTTCGCCCATTGCGCTGGGGGCCTCTCTCTGGTTCTGCTCACCCTGGTGGCCTCTGTGAGCTAAGCACCGAGTGCGTCCAGCCAAGGCCCCCCGCTTCCCCAAGATGAATCCTCCCCACACCCTCTCTCACCCACACTGACCAAGGCTCAGTGTGGTGGGCGGAGCCAGGACTTGGTCCAGCCTGGCCCAGTTCAGGACCCCCCTTCCGAGGTGAAGGATCGTAGGCTCCAATGCAGGGCCCCCACCTTGTCCCACCTAGGTTGTCTGGGCCGTGACTGCCCTGGGGGCTCCCCGGGACTAGACACAGACCAGTATGGGAGAAGGCTAGGTGCTGCCCCGAGCCAGGTCTGGAGTGGAGACCCCAGACCCATTCACTCGAACCTGGGGGGGTGGGTATGGCAGGGCAGTGGCAGGTCCCTGTGGTGGGAAACAGCCTGATGGCCTCAGGTAGCTGGAGGGGACGACTGGGGTGATCTCTTGGGCCCAGCCCTTGGATTCTGTTGTCTGCAGTAGGAGGCACTGAGAGATTTTAAAGAGAGGAGGCTGTGAATTGTGCTCCCTGTGCCCCCGTGATGACATGGGCACGGCAGGGAGGGTCAGAGGGGCAGGAAGAGCTGAGGTGTCACCAGATTGCTGCTTGAGGAGTAATTGGAGACAGCCACCACCCACAAACAAGGGACCCCTGGTGCCAGGTCTTGGTTGAACGTGCCTGACAATTCCTTTCAAGCCCTTGGCTGCAGGAGACCCTGGGTGCCCCTGGGCAGCGAGGGAGGGCCTGGTCCCTCCCCATGGCAGAAAGCCCAGGTGCCCTCCACTCACCTTGACCCCCCCCCCCACCAGGAAGTGCGTGCAGGGCCCCGGTAGAGTCCTGCCTGGGCTTAACTCCTCATCCCTTCCTAATGCCTCTTAGCCTGAAAACTAGAGGCTGCCTGGCCCTAATCCTTGAGACGGAACGGCTGTCCAGGCAGGCTGCCTTCCTTCCAGAAAGAAAAGCCATCCGACGGCCCTGCTTACTGAGGACCCTGCTACTGTGTGTGAAGACAGGCCCCAGGTCAGGGAGGCTAAAACCCCTCACTGTGCTTTGGGAGTCTGGGGCCCACTCCTTCCCCGGCAGCAGGGTCAGGATCTGTCTCAGGGCTGCAGCTGTGGGGCTGCCCCTGCCACTTGAGGGCACTGGGCCACCGGCCGCACTCCCGCCCTGCTCTCACCTGCAGGAGCGGCCCCAAGGGAGGCCCCGGGCTCTGCCCCTGTACCTCCCCGAGCCTTAGTCTCCGTGTGAGCACCCTGGTTCCTTGAAGGTGGGTGCTGAGGTCACCAAGACAGGTCTGCTCAGTCGCTCCTCACCTCAGGCAGTGTGTCCCGTGGGCCTGGGGCTGGAGTCGAGGAATTGGAGGAAAGCGACTCGCAGCCCTGCCCGTGGCAGCCCTCTAAATGACTGTTGTCCTTTGGCACCGGGCTTGGGCAGCCATCCGAGTGGCTCCGAGCACCTCCCTCCGCTCCTCGGGTTGTCATCTGGAGACGTGCATTCGCTTACATAGAACTGGGCTCTGCCCGCCTTGTCTGGTGCGTGGGGCGCACATGCGGTCCCCCCCGCCCCCGGTAACCTGAACATCCTCCTGTAACTGGAGCCTGAGCAAGGACAGCTCCAGATCAGATTGGCCACAGGAAACAGGGACATTCTCCTCTCTGGTCTGCGGCGAAAGCCCAGGAGAGATGAGGGCAGCTCTGGGCACAGGGGTGAAGAGGACAAGACTTGGGGACAGAGGGGGGTGGAGTGCAGGGTCAGTTACTGCCCTTGGCAGATGCTCCTGCCCTCCTCTGCCGTCCTCCAGCACTGTCCGCAGGGGCCCGGGAGCTGCCCCCCACGTCCCTTTCCTCTCTGGGTGCAGCCAGCAGAGGCCCCCCCCACTCCTCCTGGCCTGTCTCCCTGAGCCACCACCATGGGCGACTGTGACCCGCATGGCTGTTATTTCCAGCAAGTCACAGACCCACTCCTCCCTCCTGGTGGCCGTGCTGATGGACCTAACTGTGCCCTTGATCCCAGTTCCAAGGATGTTCCTCAGCCAGCTCCCAGGACCTCCTCCCTGACATCCATTTTCTCTGGAGAGAAATAATCCCACGTGGCAAACTGTCCCATCTTTGACTTCAGCCTCCTTCCCCATTTGGGGTCTGCACCAGCACCATTTAGCAGCAGCCTAGTTCCCATCACTCCTCTCAAGATGTTACTTCTGGGCTAGACGTCCCCAGTGACGACAGCCTGTCCGTCTCTCTCACAGCGGCATAAAAACTGCCACTGTAAACTTGGGGACTGACATTGCTCTCAGAACTGCGAGGTGGTGGGGCCAGGGCCCACCTCGTTGGGCCAGAGTCGGCCTCCGTGAGGAAGCTCCAGCTCCCGCAGCCCCAGACCCTCCTCACTTCTTGGCCGTTTTCTTACTGAACACCTCAAAAAGGTGTTTCACATTCCAGGAGCTTCCACGTCTCCTGAGAGCCCATTCAGAAAGCCTGACACCCATCTTTCGGTGTGGCCTCAGCAGGCTGAGACCCCTGCCGTGCTGAGGGCTCCTCGGGAGTTCTGGCCCCGCCCACAACAGTCTCCTTATGTTGCAGGGGACACCTAGGCTCAGGGACGTTAAATGGCCCGAGTCCAGGCCTGCCTGGCTTTGAAGCCAGTGGCCCACCCTGCAGACCTGCGAGAAGACCTGGTGGGCCCCTAGGGTGTTTCAGAAGCTGTCAGGCTCGCTCTCTGCTGCAGAGGGGTTTCTCGAGACGGCACTTCTGGGTCCTGTCCCAACCACTCTGACCCTTACACGCCCATCTTGCCTTCGGTCCTGTCCTGGCGTGAACCTGCCCTCACGGGAGCACAAAAGACCTCCCCAAAGGCTGGAGGATGGGGTGGGGGCGGGATCCAAGGTGCCGTGGCCCCTCAGAGCCAGGCTTAACGTTCCCAGCCCCCCCTGCAGCTGTCCCCACAGCCCAGCAGGGCAGCGTACCTTTCCTGCTTCTCTCCAGCTGGACAGAAGCCCCCAGCTTTCTGAACACACAGGCACGTGCACACGGGTGTGTGTTTCCCTGGTCTTCTGCGGCTCCACTCCGGACCCCAGGGACTGCACCCTCTGCCCACCCGCAGTATCCCGACCACCACCTCTGCTGACGGCACCCCGTTTGGGGAGGACCGCATACACAACTGTGCCTCCACCAGACATGCCGACAGCCCTTCTTCTGGGCCACCATCAGCTCCCGTTGAAGCTCTGCGTACCACGCCAGGGAGTCAGGAGTGTCTTTGCTTGCAGGCCGCCCCCTCACTTGGAGACCAGAGCCCAGCTGCTTGCCTGTTGAGGGAACAACGTCCACCTGACGGTCCTCAGAAAGGAGCGGAGGTGTGACTGGGGCCAGGGAGCCCTGTTCTTTGCCTGGTGCCAAACCCCATGCCCTTGTCACGTGTCACCTTGCTCTGAACACAGAATCGTGTGTACATGTGATCTTGGTTAAACCTCTTGACCACCAGGCCTCAGTTTCTCCCACCTGTCACATGGTGACAACAGGTTTCCGTCCTTGCAGGACCACCCTGAAGGTTAATGGCAACCCCATGTCGCTATGCTGCACCAGGCTGCAGTCTAGGCACTAGAGCACAACTGTCAAAATAGACGAGGGCCTCAGGCCCGAGTGTCTGACCCACACACAGCAGGCCCCCAGGACAACAAAGGATGACAGCACCTCCCGGGTGCCATGAAAGGTGTCCACTCCACCTCACCCTCCCTCTCCCTGTCCGCAGGGCCCACGGACCTCAGCATGAAAGGCGGGGCCTCCACGGCCTCCACCACGCCCACGCCCACACCCTCCAGCAACAGCACCAGCAGGACCATGCCCACCGCCCAGCTCAGCCCGACGGAGATCAGTGCCGTGCGGCAGCTCATCGCCGGCTACCGAGAGTCCGCTGCCTTCCTGCTGCGCTCCGCAGACGAACTGGAAAACCTCATTTTGCAGCAGAACTGACCCCAGCGGCACCTGGAGTGCACTGCCCTAGGGAAGGGGGCTGCCCCGCCCGGACCCGGCTTCCTGCCTCACCAGTTGGTACACTCTGCTGTCTGAAAGAGGTGGGATCCAAAAGAGCTGTTTCTAGCCACACTCCAAGCACCTGAGACTTTGGGCACAAGGACACTTTTTTTTGGAACCTCACCACACGGGTGCTCTGACCTGCTTGGAAGAGGCCAGTGGGGCAGCTGTGGAAGGGCCGGGCTCCCCCGACAGGGTGCTGGGGCCGCAGCTCTGTTTAGTATCATCTTCGTGGACCCTGATGTTAGAACCCCACTCCCAGATAATTACCTTTCAAGTCTTAGGTGAGCGGAATTGCATATTTATTGAGAAAAACAAAGTGGACCCTTTCTTCCTCTCCCCTTAGTAATTTATTTTTCTGAAAATGGATTCTTTTGTGTTTGTACAGATTGCCAGTCTGTGTCTGTCTGATCAGAAGGATGTCTCCCTGTGACCTAACATTCCATATCACTACACTGGCGCGGGCGGGGCCGGCGGGGTGGGGCTGTGGCGGGGCAGGCGCCAGGTGGGCTGTCCCTCTGTGCACCCGGCACCACCAAGCAGGAGGACCTCACCCACACCCACTGCAAAGCAAAGACAAACACACGGCCCCCCTACCCCAACTCCACAGAAGCCCCAGCCATGGCCACCAGTAGTCTACCTCACACTCCAGCGGGGGCTTTTTCCAGGACGCGCCCTGAGCCTGATCTGAATGGCTGTCTGCCAACTCCCCCCGACAGTGTGGTCTGCCTGGGAGGTAGTCCAGATGGGTGGCAGGAGCAGCTGGAGCCCACAGAAGGACCCAGCCCTGGCCCTCGCCCCCAGGGAGTCTGGCTGACCCAGCCTCTCGCAGACCCAGGGCTCTCAGACACCTGCTGGGAAGCACTGGCTTCTGCAGGGTGAGCCCCTGGCTGGCAGGCAGCCACTCAACAGGAAAGGCAGCTGTGAACTCCCAGGTGGACTTGGGCTCCCATGCCCTGCCCCTGTGGCTGAAATAAAGGAACCGTCAACAACTGGAGAAGCCACTTGCTTTCTCCTAAGACCAGCCCTTCTGGAGGGACCAGTCCTGGAAGAAACCCATAATGCCTGGAGTGTGAAAGGGGGCAAACAGTTAAGGCTGGCCTGGTTTCCTTCCTCCCAATAGGCACTTCCTCTTGCTCAGTGCAATACCTACCAGTGCTGCTAAAACCAGGGATTTGCCCAGACCTCAGAAGGCCCACAGGGCCTCTCCGTGCAACACTCCGTAGCCATGACGGCAGCCCTCTGCTGCCTGCCCCTGCCTGGAGCTGGCAGAAGCCCTCTGTTGCCTTTCCTCCCTCAGAGCAAAGAGGCCCCAGGGGAGCCGGGGCCGAGTCCACCCTAGGACGGCTACTGAGAGCCACCCGACCCCAGAGCAGGCACCCTTTCTCAAACCAGCTTCTCTGCAGCCAACTGCCTCCTGGCACTGTGGCACACCACACTCAGGAGGGCCGGAGATGGGGCTCCAGCGTGGGTGTCCCACCCTGCCTTGGGTCCAGAAACTCGGAAAGGTAGGGTGCCCCACTCTGCTTACTTCCAGCCCCTAGAGGTTGGGGGTGGTCTTTTTTTAATCTCTCAAGTGGCCTCCACACCCCATCCCACCACACCACCTCTGCCTTCCATCTGACCCATCCGCAGGCCCCTGGTCAGGGCCGAGACACCCAAAACTCCCCCTTAGCACAGCACAAACTCCAGTGCCCAAGGCCTCCCCCGCACCCCTGCCATCCGCACGTCCATCCACCCCCTGCTCAGTACACTCCCTGAATTTGAATTTGTGTAAATATTTATTTTTGTGTGTGAACAATATGACAAAGTAATCGGTAGATCTTTTGCAAAATGTTACCCCAGGCAATTTGTGAGATCTTAATGTTGAAAAACTGGCAGAGACAATCGCCGCCTTAGAATCCTTGGTTATCAATTGCTTAACATGTCATCTCTCCCCGCAGAGGCAGTACCCAAGCCAGACAGGAGTGGTTTGCTTTTCTTGACAGGAGTGAGGAGGACTGGGCAAGGGGCTCCCGCCACCACCACACCAGGGACTGTGTCTAACGATCACATAAGCTACAGCTTCTAGTCGTGTTTTTCTGAGTTCAGGCTGCCCTCACTGACCACCTTCAGCCGACCTAATGCTGCAGTGAGCGCGGAGGTTCCATGTGTTTCTAGAGAAAGGAAAGGGGCGCCGGTGGCTCGAGTCCCCGGAGGCTGCCAGCAGCCCCTCCAGGACTGGCTCCAAGTGGGGCCCTTCCCACTGAAGCGACGCCGGGAGCCCCGGAGACGGCGGCATCAGGAGCAAGTTACTATGTGGAAACAGGATTCCATTAGCTAGTTCAGTCAGGGAACTTGTTCTGTTTGGTTTTTGTTTTCAAAGATGCAGCTTCAACCTCATCCCTCTCCTCCCGACTTGGAGAGCACCCAAGGGCTGGTTCTGCTGACCCTCACCCCCACCGTCACCCCAGAGACGGCCTTCTCCCAAAGCCCTGCCCCACAACCACTTAGAATTCTCAAGGAGGGAGGGCCTCAGGGCACAAATGAGTCACTTGGGATCCAAAGTTTAAAAGGTGAGAGCAGAACACACCAATCCCCAGTTCCAGAGTCTTCGCCTGGGGCTGACCCTGAGAGAAGGGCGGACCCCAGAGACTGGGGACTGGCCTCGGCGGCAGGTCGCCCAGTGGACCAGCAGCAGTGCGATGCGCCTGAAGTCGCTTGCCCTCTTCCCTCGTGCAGACGGACAGTGTACATCCGAGACAGCATGGAAGTGGGGCCAGGTGGGGGCTCGGCGGGTTTTAGAGGGTTTCAAACAGGTGGATCCCAGCCATCCCTATTCCCAAGGGCCACTTACGACTCCAGGGTGGTTACAGGATTAACTACCAGTTCATTTTCAAAATGCTGCTTTGAACTCAGAGGGTTGATACATTTAATTTGTAATTTTTTGTAAAACTTTTTACAAGATAGTAAAGTATTTCACCAGAATACCAGTTTCAATCCGTCCATGGTCTGATTTTTATATAATTTAGTGGTGCTTTAGAAACTTTGTTTTTGTTGTTTCTGGGCTAAACAGCTCGATCTTTTTTCGCCTGTATCTACCTAAGACCAATGTGAACCTTTGTATTTTTGCTCCTAATTTTGGACTCAGTGAAAGTGTACTGTTTACATGTACAGATGCCCCGGTCCCTGTGTGTTCTGCAAGACTCGCTCTTGAGGGGGAAGGTGCACCTCACTAAGCTCATCTGCTTAGCAAAGCCACAAAACAAAACCTCTCACTTTTTAACCTATGTTTCCACCTAAAAACAAAGACGAAAACCCTATACCACATGGAAGTCAGATTTACTGAAAAACACTTTTCTAAGCTCAGAAAAATCTCCAGGCAGCCCATGGCCCACGTGTGTCTACCATGTGGTCCACTGAGAAGCAGGGGTCGGAACAGAGACCTCCCGCGGCCGGCGGTGGGTGACTGCGCGGGCAGATGACCAGTGAAAGCAGGACTTCGCTGCAGAGCTGTGGGACGGACACAGTTCTGGCAGCCTGACCTGTGACCTTCAGGGTCAAGCCACCCAGGATTTAGGGACAACCCAAGGTCATCAGTCCTCTGGCATAACTCAGACAGGTTTTGGAATATCGTGAGTTCACTATCTGAGGCGGGATTTTAAGACTCTCCAGTGCAGACGGCACCAGCCCTTCTTCAGGGTTCAAGACATCACCTCTGGGGACGGGCAGGGGATTCCAGATGATAAGCATATGGCACTTAAGGCAAACAGTGGATGGCACCAACTTTTAAAGGTGACTCTTTAGTACTTATCAATGGCTTCATCTCTAAATTATATTTTTACAGATATGCACCTATGCAACTTAATGTGGCTCTTCTAAGCAGGTGAGGACTTCCTCTTCAATGCTCTATAAAAATTCTTTGTGTTCTATATAGTGAGTTTTTCCAGTAAATGTGGCTTACTATTTTAATTCTTAGACTGTGTCTTCTCTATGTGATGCAACTAAATTCTGTTTCGTTTGTGGAATGACTAGCACAGGCCAACTCCCTCTCCCCTCACTTAACAAAAGACCAATGAGCTGTTAATTGAGCTGTTATCTCCATGGTATTACTTGCTAAATGCACTGATTTCATAAGTATGTGGAATCCTTTTCTTTTGAATCTGTATATCATATATAAGACTGAATCTACTTAATAAACACTGAATAACAAACCGAATGCTTTATTTCCACCGTGTCCTCTAAGCAGCCGCTCTGCCAACCACACCTCTTCCTCCCAGATCCAGTTTGGCTCCTCGACCGCTTTCTACCAGCAGGTTCCGCCTTTCCTCCTCGCCGTAGAGCTAGCACACAGGAGGTCCTCGGTAACTTTCCTGGAACTAATGAATTTGTCATCTCTCTCCCTGGCGCTCACCAAGCGCTCGGGGGGGGGGGGGGGCACCGTGTCGAAACCCTGCAGTCCCCTTCCCAAAGAGGTGCGCTTGCCTCCACTTACAGATGAGTTAGTTGGCAGGGGTGCAAGGGCGGCTCCCCTAAATTCAGACAGTGATCCAGCCCTTTCCCTGCAAACTACACCCTTCCCGCTCCCGTCACCCCAGCGTGCAGCTCTTCATCAGACACAAACTGAACTCACCTACCTACCAGTCCTCAAATACCGTCCTGGAAAACTGCATCCCTGGTCCTGAACCTTCACTCGCTGACATCCCGTTGGGCCCAAATTCCCGGATCCCACCGTGAAGGAAACGAGGGCTCTTTGCCCGCAGACGTTTACTTGTGCACTGATGTTTTTTTCATCCTACATGCATATCATTTAGGTTCAACTTGAAAAGAAAGCTCATGGGAATATGGGCAGGAACAAAATTGATCATCACAAGTTTAAAAACAATTTTGACCATGTGAGCTAAATGCAAAAATACAAGTTTTACTGCTACACACAGACACTACATGAAGGCTGTTTTCAAAACATTCGTTTTTGGAATGGCAGGAGAAACTCTTTAAAATATAGATTCCATGCAGCTGCCAAGTATGTAAGCAAAAGGAGAGGGGCCAACAGTTTGAAGCCACTGCACCCAGAGAATGTACTCTGGGGCTAAGCTTTGCAAGGACAGTAGCAAGTAGACACCTGCGCACCCTATCTTTTCACATGCACGTGGCAATCACAAGCAGTGACTCCTCAGTACTACACATCTGTCCTACTGAATCTACTGCCACTGAGAATCACCAAGGGACCATAAACCCCCACAACCTGGGACAATACATGCAGAATCCAAAGCGGCCACACGCAGACTGAGCCAGTGAAGTGGGACAGCGCTTACCTCGGGTGGAACACTGCAGCTCCAAGAAGCCGGAGGAGGACAGAGAAGCGCTGCTTGATCCCCATCTGGCGTCTTCCGTGGAGCTCCCGACCACTGCTGCTAAGTGTACAGCACATCAAATGGGAATGCCCCCCTCCCCCGCCCAGAACAGGGAAGTCAAATTCACACAGTGACCAAACAGGCAACCTTCATTCACTTCATTCAGTGATGGGCGGGGAAGACCATGCACGTCACTGCATTTTTAAGATAATTTAAAATGCACCAGGGAAGCTTAGTAGTTACAGAAAACCTAAGAATCCTTTGCAAAGCCACTTCTCCCCAACTTGATCTTCCATATAAACCCAGATTAGCTTTATCATCAGTCAGGGTGCTCCTGAATGACGGCCCCAGCCGCCCGCAGAGCTCTCGCGCCATCTGAATGAGTATGCACGACCTATGTGCACGTGGATTCCTGCAGGGGGAGGGCTGAGACCTCCTGTCAGGCTCTCAAAGGAGCCTGTTCCCTGAAAGGCCAAGAGCCACTGCACTGACAGCTGTTATTTGTTACTAAAAAAAAAAAACAAAACAAAAAACACGCTTCTGTGTACATCTTTTGGTAGGGATGTTCGTTCCAAGCTTTCAAATTGATGCAGAGATGAGAAGCAGCAAAGGGCACTGTCAAGCTTTGGTTTCAATCTTCAGTCTCTAAGGCCACAAAGCGCACCCTCTGTTACTTTACGGCACCCGTACCCAAGGGCAACACAGTCTGTACCACCTCCTCTCAGGGCACAGCGCGGGCAGACGCTGGGCCCCCTGAGGCCCCCGATGTAGAAGGGCTACTCTATTAAGCACATGCACCCCTCTCAAGCAGGGTCTGACTTCCCCAAGAGCAGGTTGGACATGAAGCAAACGAACACCTCTACAGGCAAGATACTATTTTCATATTCCGCAACATTAGGTTTCCTCGTCCTTTGGACGGCAAGTACAATGTCTCCCCTATCACTCAGTCTCCAAACTCTGCACTGTGCATTCAACACTGCAGCGTGAGGCCACAAGCCAGAGACATTCCCTTAGACGCCCGCACCTCCACAGCTCCTCTTTGGGGTGAGGGTCAAGCAGGTGAGTTGACAGGAGCCATACAGATTTCTACTGTAAATTTATGTAGCAGTTGTCTGGCTTGGGGCACACTGACAGTCTGGAGTACTTCCTGTGAGCGAGGCCCTAACAACTCTATGAAGTAGGAACTACTGTCTCCCCTCAGCAGCAAGGTTGGCAGGGCGGCTGAGTAACCCAACCACAGCAGCGGTGGCTGCAGGGCCTGCCCTCCAGCCCGCCACACCATTCTGCCTCCCCAGTGAGATCACCTCTGGATCCTAATAGATTCTAAACTCCCGCAGACTGCGTGGACCAATTCTGCGACACAAAGGCACACCTACACATCCTCACCACCAGGTGGCTGCCCAGTCACCACGGAGCCCAACCAGAACATCTCCAACTGCACCGGTAACAGCAGAACCACAAAACTGCAGCCCGAACTGCCCCCAACGGTGTCCCACTGCACAAAGCCTGTTTTCTCCAGTTCACAGGAAACAAGTTAACGGATCCTTCTCTTAACTTGTCTTCACTTCCCATCATTTTTTAAACTTTTGGCGTATTTATGTACTTAGATCCTGCCAAGCAAAAATCATGTATTTAAGTGCTCCGGATAAGCCTGAGGACTAAGAAGTCAACCCCTGCAGGCTGGCATGCACTCAGCCTCACTTAAGCAGCGTCAGACCCCACCTTGTGCCAACTCCTCCCTTGCTGCTGCTGGCTGCTGCACAGAGGCGCTGTGTTTATGGCTTTTCAAGGTCGGAACTGTTCACCCTCCCCACAGATCATCAGCCATTAGGAAGCTCTTGGGCAATCTCAGTCTCATGGAGGCAGCTGAGATGAGCATCCTTATCACTTTAATTTCTGCTTTCCAGTGCACACCGCGGGAAAGTTCGCCACGTCACGCAGAGTCTAAAGACCTGTGAAACTGACAAGTTGTGCTTTTAGGTCTCACCGCACAGAAGCGCTCCTTCCATCATGAGCCCCAGAGCCAAGGTGAGTGAGCTGGCACTTGCCCCTTGAATGCTGCTCCTACAATCCAGCCTGACCTTCCTTCCCGCCGCATGGGGCAGCCACAGAAGATGACCAAGACCACAGCACAGGTTGTACAGGTTTATTTTTCCAATACCACAAGAGACATACAAGAGCAGTGCTTTCCCTGGGCAGCCCCACGGACCAGACCAGTTGCGAACTGTGGCCCCAAAGGTCACAGTAGAAGGAAGAAGAGGATCAAACACACTTGGGCCTCTGCTCCCTGTCTTTGGTAAACAGACTCTTGAAATTGACAACTTGGATTTGGCCAATACTGCATTTAAATCACCACTGCATTGCCAACTTCTCACTCAGGCTTCAGATGACAAGAATGCCGCATTGGATGAAGTGGGGAAAAAATAAAAATAAAAAAGACCTCTCAGATGAAATGAGATCTGCTGCAGTCACACTGATTTTGTACTTCACACAGACGCGCTCACACAGGGAAGCTGAAGTTAAACAAGGGCTCTCAACTCAGCAACAAGTTGAGGTACAAGAAATAAGGCAGGAAGCAGGGTGAGGAAGGACAACTACGGACACATCCATTTGTTAGAAATATGTTAGGAGAGAGGCAGGCAGCAGGCCTGGCTGTTTCTTCCCCAACCTGCTGTCAAAAGTATGTCATAAGCAGCCCTGTGGCCCTGTGGCCCCAGGAGAGCACGGTCCCAGGTATTGCTGACAGGCGCTGGCCCTGGAGAGCTAGGTCTAGAAGGCCCATCTCAGGGCTGCCCAGGGCACTCACCCTTGAATTCAGAAGCACTTAACACTGGTGGTGGTGATTTGTCCCATATGGCAGTGAACAGCCAATGAAGACGGGAAGAGAGATGTGAGGAGCAAGACGCATTTTCTCAGTAGCGGGCAGGCAGGCCGACTGCGGCTCTGCAGGCTGTGGCAGGCCCAGCAGGTAACCCCTGACAAGGCACCGGACCGCCCTGGCAGGTCACAAGTCACTCACTCCACCCGCAGGTCGGGCAGCACAGCATGCAGTGGCTCTGACACAGGTGGAGAAAAGTCTATTACACCATTTTAATGCAATGATGCCCAAGACGTAAAGTAAGGGAGAGACGTTCATGTTCTCTGTACAATACATCCATTTACAGAATCGGCCAGTACTGTGTACAACATATAAATACATGATAAAACATTAGAGGTGCATAGAGCATACTTACAGAAGCCCAAAAATTCACTTTATACATCCAAGAATAAAGAGTTAAAAATATAAAAATAAGAAACACACACTGCTTTGAAATGTAAAATGACTTTCACATACACAGGTGCGTGGAGATGCCCGCTCCCATGAGTCCAAAGTGACGAGGTGGGTGTCAGGCAGAGGCATTCACCTGCCGAACATCTGGACATCTGACTCACGAGGTCTACAGATGGCATTTTCAGACAGACAGCCTTATGCCCGACCCCATTGTCCAAGCAGGTCTATTCAAGGTTCCAAAAAGCTCTTGTGGGCCAGTGGATTGTAATGAGACAGCAAAGTCCCAAACTTGCTTCAGCAACAGAACCAAAGGTCAAAGGGCTCCATCAATTGGCATCAGGATGAACCTTAACCCTAAGGCCAGCAGGTACTTGAGCCCCCTGGTGGGCAATGCAGGGAGTTACCTTAGCCCTGGGCTGGTTCTTCCCCAACCATCAGCTCTCCCAGTGGCATAAGGAAAGGAGGAGGAGAGGGAGCAGTGGAAGACTGACATTTCTACTTAGTCAGGGTAGGTTAGTTCCCGCCATGGAGAACACAACCTTCCTTCTTCAGTTTCAAGTCCCTCTGGGTGTCAGGCAGGCTCCCCACA